TGAGCGTGTATAGAACAGTGTGTGTGGTAATGAGCGTGTATAGAACAGTGTGTGTGGTAATGAGCGTGTATAGAACAGTGTGTGGTAATGAGCGTGTATAGAGCTGTGTGTGGTAATGAGCGTGTATAGAACAGTGTGTGTGGTAATGAGCGTGTATAGAACAGTGTGTGGTAATGAGCGTGTATGGCACTGTCTGTGAAAATTAGCATGTTTAGAAATGTGTGTAATGAACATGTATAGAGCTGTGTGCGGTAATGAGCGTGTATAGAACAGTGTGTGGTAATGAGCGTGTATAGAGCAGTGTGTGGTAATGAGCATGTATAGCACTGTGTGTGGAAATCAGCATGTTTAGAAAAATGTGTAATGAGCATGTATAGAGCTGTGTGTGGTAATGAACCATGGGACATGCTGCTGTTCTCACAGATTCTCTACACATGTTGCTGCTCTGCAGAAACAGAGTTTTGGCTAATTAACCGGTAAAATGCTTCACCAGGGGCGGGGCTAGGCCAGGCAAAGAGAGGCGGTCTATTGTACCACAGAGCTTTTCTTCCCTTCAGGCTTTTCAGTGGAGGGCTCAGCTTTGAGTGTGTGGGAACCAGGATGGGTCGACATCATTACACGGCCAATTAAGCTTAGGTCAGCGGAGACTAAAGAGAGAGCAGAGCCAGTGGGAGAGACTGTGCTCTCCTCCCCTCCTCTCCTCTCCTCTGCGCTGTCCTCCTAGCTACTCTTCTTTTCCCACCTGTTCACTTCCAGACGTGCACGTGCGTATGAGTCTCACTTTGGTTTCACGCTGCAACAGCATATTAAAAATTTAGCTCTCGGCTTGACAGTTTGATGAATGCGCCCTGGAATTGAATTGTTTTAGTGTGCAATTCGCCACCTGAACCGATCAGGCTAATGGTTATGCTTTATTAACAATTTAACGTTAAGTCTGAAGCGACATGTTTTTGTCTGGTGTAAAAACGGCAAAAAGGTTGGAGCCAGCTGTGGGTCCTACACGCACAGCTGCTGTAGGACAATGGACCAGGTGAACGTGCAAGCAGTTTTACTCATGCGAAGGGGCCTAGTTGGGCTTAGTGTGCATGTGTGGCAGAGGAGTGGTGTATGTGTGTGTGTGTGTGTGTCTCTCTCTCTCTCTCTCTCGCAGCCAAAACCTGCACCTGGCCTGGAGCTCTCGGCAGTCTTGCAGGTGCTTGACTCGCTTTTGTGGTGGTCCATGCGGTGGTTCCTCTTCAGGACAAAACTCCATGGAGGGTGGGGGCTGTGCCAGCTGAGCCCTCAAGCAGAGAATTATGACACCTCCCCCCCCAACACACACACACACACACACACACACACACGCACGCACACTTTCTCTAAAGTATGAGAGGGCACTGTCAGAGTGGGAGGCTCCAGCGGTAATTGTATGTAATTAGCTCTTTTAATTAACCAGCCAGGTGCCTGGGGAGCTCTCTCTCTCTCTCTCTCTCTCTCTCACACACACACACACACACACACGCACACACTATTACAATGATTCTCAATCCTGGTATTGGAGTACCCCTTCTCCGCATATTTTGGTGCTTTCCTTGCTATAACACCTGAATCAACTAATCATCTAATTACCAGCCACTCCTGTGGGTGTCTTAAAGCAGGGAAAACACTAACATGTGCAGGGTGGGAGTACCCCGAGACCAGGTTGAGCCATTAAATACATCACACACACACACGTCTCAGAACTGCCCCAGTGGGTATTCCACACATGTACACCACATGTACCAAATTAGCTTTACTAAACAATTTTAGTCAAGGTTTGTCATAACATTATGGTCTTAAGTCATTATATAATAGCGCTGATTGCAAATTGATCATTATGTCACTGATAAATGCAACACTGATGAATAGATTATCCTACACTTCATAATTCAGTTGTGGGACAATAAAGACCTAAAATTTAAACTTACAGACTTTTCCAGTTTGTTCCTTAAAATGATTCTTAAAATACAAAAATGCTTAAGGACGGGAATGCAAAAGAAAAGATGTTAAAGGAATACACCAATGTTATTTTGGTAACATATCTTCTTGTGTCTGTCTCATCCTAAGACCTTTATAATCGTAATTTTGAATGCATGTTATACACACACACTTTAATTGTTTATTTCTGTTTATTTATGAAATTAAAACACCTGACTTCTAGTCTATCTACTTTAAATCAAAATTAGGTTAAAAATTGTGAAGTATCCCTTTAGCTTTCTATCTTCACTGATGAGACCATCTTAACATATGTTGCTTACAATGACATATTCATCCATCCATCCATTCGCTGTACCGCTTATCCTACACAGAGTCACGGGGAGCCTGGAGCCTATCCCAGGGGACTTGGGGAACAAGGTAGAGGACACGCTGAATGGGGTGCCAACCCATCGCAGGGCACAATTGCACACTATGGGCAATTGGGAAATGCCAATCAGCCTACAGCACATGTGTTTGGACTGGGGGAGGAAACCAGAGAACCCAGAGGAAACCCCTGAAGCAAACTCCACACACAGGGTAGAGGTGGGATTTGAACCCTCAATCCCCTGGGGTACGAGGCAACAGTGTTAACCACTAAGCCACCAAGCCACCATGCCCCACAGTGACATATCTAATTAATTTAATCGTTAATTATTCTTTAAAAATAAGAAAGCAGACTTCATAACTTTCTGTAAACCCTTCAAGGTTGTAAAAACTCAAAATAGGGAAACTACTTTTTCTTCCCAAAAACAAAAAATTCTCAGAAATGAGATGACTCATGTTTGGATGAAGAGACAAACTGTAAATGAAACATATATGTATCTTGTTCTCCTTTTTTAAATATGTTTTTAAACTTAAAATATGTAGTAATTTTAAATTCAGCTTTTTTATCACAATGTTTCTTCATGTTTCCTCAAAACTAACCTGCATTCTGTTTTCACCGGAGAACAAATTTGCCTGAAAAAAAAAAGAAGCAAAGTTCACACAGTAAGTACCAATTGCATGAAAGATTTAAGGACTACAAAGCACTTAATCCCTAAATCCCGTGATCCCTAAAAATGCGTGAGTTTTGTGTGTGTGTGTCTGTGTGTGTGTGTGCAGGGTGTATTTGCTGAAGGGAGTGTCTCTCTTGGGTCTCTCTTTGCCGTGGAGATCCAACCTGCTGAAGTGTTGTGCAGTTACCTGATCTGAGATGAAAGCTGCCCTCTGGCTCTTTGATGGACAGGTTGAATAGGAACACTTACCGCACTGTGATAGATAGAGAGGATAAGGGGAACAATACCAGCCAAATTATAGCCTTTTGGTGTGGGAGTCAGTGATCCCCCCCCCAAAACCACACACACACACACACACACACATATACACACACACACACACACACATGCACACAAACGCAAACACGCATGCAAACACTGGAATCCCCTCCTACACAGATCAGGTAAATCTTACCATGGCATGATGTATGTGTGTGTGTGTGTGTGTGTGTGTGTGTGTGTGTGTGTGTGTGTGTGTAGTAGTCGAAAGCATCTCAGCTGGACACCGTCCCTTGTCTGTGTTCTACACTTCCACTTGTTGAGTCTTAATCCAGATCGCATTACAGAGAGGAGCACTGAGAACGTGTTCATAACAGGATTATTATAGGATTATAATGAGATTAGTGGTATCTTTGATCAGAGTTCTCTTCTTTTCTCTATTTCACTCTCACTCTTTATCTTTTCTCTTCACTTCATGACCCCCTACCTGAGAAAGACATCTCTATTATATAATTTTGGAAGACTGGGCTGATAGCAACACAGTTGGAGTTATACCACTTGATAAAATATTATAAAGTTAGTTATGTAACCGAACTATAAAGAAAATTATGCAGAATGAACAGATGATGTTTTCTAAATGAATACAAATACAGACATGAATAAGAGGCACACTATTTATTTATTTATTTATTTACATTTTTTCTTTCTTTCTTTCTTTCTTTCTTTCTTTTTTTTTCCCAAAATATGTCAAAAAGGTTCACAGGGCGATAAAGTCATGTGGGCAAGACCAAGGTGTCGTGCCATCGTGTGGTGGTCCTTGGCAACTTGAGTCTACTCTTAAGTGAGACTAATAGCTTGTTTATATTTTGGGAAAGAGTACCTAAACTAAATTTGTTAGAAAATATCAGTATGTATTTATATGTACAACCAACAGTCCCGCACACATCTCTGTTTAAGACCATGTATGAACTTGAGTGATGTAGCTGAGGCTGAGAAACTATCACATCCAGAATTCACACACTCTGCTGACACTGCTGACATTTCTACATCTGAATTGTTTCTTTTTGTTTCGGTTTTTGAGTGTGTAGTGGAAGGTTTCGCATTTAATTTGCATTAAAAAAAAATGTCCCGGTTACGTCGCGCCCACTTCAGCTTTAAATCTGAATACAGGTACAGATATGTGCAGCACTAAACAAATGCAGATAGTTGCATTGTGTTCCACTTTTATATAGTAAGATGTTAAAGATATGACAACCTTGATAGCAAATAGGCACATTGCGTCAACATTTATTTTCTGGAAATTTCCACTGAACCTTTTGAGACAGAGCTGCAACCAGAAAAGGTCTAATGTAAAAGAAATCAGCTGCAACTGCAAGAAATGTTTTTTATTTTCACATTTAAATTCATTTCTAATTTAATTGAACTTATCAATATTCTATTTCATTATATACATAGTGTATATTTTTCTTTTTACATGTAGCCAGTGTTAGTCTGCTGACAAAAGTATGCTAGCTGAGGAGTGTAATCATAACAACTTAGGTTCTACATCCCAGCAATATAGTCATTTTTACACACTAGTTGGGTTAAAAAACCAACCCTGCATGCTGGGTCAACAACCTAACCTAACCTAACCGCGCTGAGCACAGGGTTTCCAAAGTGACCCAAACTGGGTTATTTTTAACCCAGCCATTTTTAGAGTGTAAATATATGAATGTAGTACAAAAATAGCTCCAGAAATAAAAATCCTTCAGCTGTGCAAGCAGCCTGGAAACTACAACATTCAGATGTACATAAAAACGTGACAGTGTCTTCGACATTTTACACAAACATTCACGTGATTAAGCACACAGGTCATGAAGATTTAAAAGCTGTGTGGTTGAAAATAATTGTGTAAACACAAGCTACAATGAGGAAGCTTAATCCAAGAGCAAATTTAATCATCCTCGTAACAGCAATGCTCTCCCACATCCTGTTTACTAGCCGTGGCTCCTTGTCTGTTTTATCTGTCCAATCAGCAGTTGAATATGAGACGTCTGAAGTTCAGGCCTGAGAGGAGCTGAAGGTTGATTGGTGCCACATTGATGCATGGAGGCCCAATTAACCAGAACATGATCCTCAGACCCTCCCACTCACGCGCAGGATTGGCTTACGGATAATTGATGAGACTTGGCTGACCTCCAGGACTGTGGGGTAGCTGGACCAGTAAGGCCAGGTACACACACACACACACAAACACACATTTACATACAGTCATGGGAAAAGATAGTACACCCTCCTTCATTTCTATGTTTTTATTTTTCAAGGCCTAAATATCAATTGTGTGATCCTCCCCAACTTCTGTAAACAAACAGAAAACCAAAGCATTTTCCCCCAAAAATAAAACAACATTCAGAAGTCAGGTGAGAAAAAATAAGTACACCCTATAATTCAGTAGCAACAATAACTTGAAGCAAGCATTTTCTGTAGGAGTTTATCAGTCTCTCACAATGTTTTGGAGAAATTTTGGTGGTTTAAAAAAATGAAGGTAGTTTTGAGTTCAAAAAGCTTCTCAACTCAAAAGGGGGCAGTATGACTACACTACAAACCTATTTGAAATCAATTTCAAGAAAGGAGTCCATGACACATTTATGGATTTAGGAGTATTTTAACTAAACCATCTTAGCCTTTTAAACATGCTACAATAGCCATGGAATAGATTGGCTTTACACAAGAGGAAATTGGTTTCAGCCCACCCGGTTTTAGATGAACTTGAAGGACAGCCGTGGATGGATCTGTGTCACAAACAGCAAAAGTTTCATTGAAATTCTCGGAAGAGCTGGTCTTAGAGAAATTCTAAGCAAACAGAATATGACAGTATCCTATTTTAGTCTATAGGAAAAATCTGTATAGCTGTTGGGAATGTATCAGTTTCAAGGTCGTTTTTTTCTGAAGAGTTGTCCTTTAGGGCCACACATTCTGCTGGAGATCTAGCCAGTGTCCATGTGAACCTGTTGGATAGAGAACAGAAAGAGCAATTCTGAATTTTTTCTGTAATAATGTTTTTTTCAACAGTAGAATTTTGGATAGGTTGAATGCTCAGTTTGTAATGTTTCTGAAAGTGTTTCTAGGCCTTTTTTTTGTGAAAAACACCTTGGGAAAAAATCGAGTCTCAATGGACAAGTAGTTTCTTTATTTCAGGCTGTTTACATGTTTACATTTTTCTGGCCCAGAAATTAGCCAATCCATCTCCAATCAGAACTGCTCGGTGTACTGCTTTTTCCTGAAAAGCAACTCAAGAGGCATGAAGTTTCAACAGAGGAGGTGCGGTCCATTGAGGAAAATGGATAATTGCAATTGTATTTCACTTGTTAGAATTACAAAATGCTGCTTTAATGTCATATAAACTGGAACACAGAGAGAGATTCCCATCTCACTCATAAACATGACCAAAGACCAAAAAACATCTCACTAAAGTGGAAAGAGAGATAAAGTCACAAAAAAGTAACTAGAAATTTTACAAAGCAAGAGCAGTAAGGGAGTCAGGATGAAGATGCAAGAAAGGAATCATTTTTCCGGATGCACCCTTATGCCCCCGCACCGCTGGCTGTGGTACGTCCTCCATCCTTCAGAGCTCCTTTCTTCTCTCTACATATTCTGGCAGTTGCAGTTTTAGGCAGTTGCTCCATCCCGATAGCCCTCTCACCCCTGCTGTGCGCACCCCATTACAGCCTCGCTCCCTACACACACTGCCTGACACACTAAAAGCCCGGCCTGGGGAGCGGCCAGGTTAAGAGATGGAAAATGGGGCAGTGGTGGAAGAGGATGGGGCTATTTAGGGCGCTGATTGCTGATTTGGCAGCAGGGGGGAGAGTGTAGTAATAACAATTGCTTGTTCACCTTTTCTGACTGTTTTTTTAGAAATGGAGGAAGATGGAAAATTCAGATGGACAGAGGGTAAGGACAGTTTGTGTGTGTGTGTGTGTGTGTGTGTAAGATAAAGTGGAATAGCCAGCTTTGTATCTGCATTCCACCGATTCTTTCTTTCTTTCTTTCTTTCTTTCTTTCTTTCTCTATCTGTTTGCCTGCCTATCTATCTATCTATCTATCTATCTATCTATCTATCTATCTATCTATCTATCTACCTATCTATCCCTTTCTTTCTTTCTTTTAGTTTTAAAAGGCAGTTTTTAATCACACTAGCACAGTTACTTTTTAATATACTTTTTTTTTTTAACAAATTTACTTGGTTCCATAAAAATAAAGTAGCATCGGATGAATAAATGGATGCTGCAAATGCATCACTCAGTGCCACATGTTCATGTTAATGAAGGTGGACTTTACTGATACACACAGGCCCTTCCTGTTCATATCAGTATTTGT